CCAAGGGCTCTTAATCAAAACTGGGACATAAACTTTTAGCTCCAGTTTCAAGGTCTACTGGGTAGGTCGTACTATCGTTACTGGCCATTACTGTATCTATAACATATCTAATTTTTTTGGCGACAACGTCTAAAGTCACTTTTGAGAAAAACGTTAACTGCGCCTATTAGAGCCTTGGTTCTGTGGATATCTTGCAGGCTACAATTTATTGCCTCTAACACGTAGTTTTACGACATCCCGTACGATCAATTTACACTGGTATAAGAGAACGTGTACATTTGTGGTACATTTGCTTAAATTACGTGTTGGTATTTCTCGGCAAACAAGATTAAGTTGGCAATTTAAATATCTAATATGCAGTCTATCCACAGTCGAATAACATTACAACATTGCCCGGTAACCTACCGTTACCGTTACCAATACCGTTACGTTACCGTCACAGACTGTCAAATGTCCACTGCAGAACATAGACCCATAGATTGCCTCATAAGGGAGTTCACCGTAGTTATCACGCTTGGCAAGCGGGATGGCAACCGCACTTTTTTGTGTTTAGTCGTTATTAGGAAGACGCTGCTGCTCATCGCCTGATTTGTGTTCCTCTGTCAGCTCTTACGTCACTCACGGGATGATGTGGGGTAATAGATATTCTTACACCATCTATACACGGTAAGCTAGCATATCCAAACATTTTACGTGATAGAGCCAAGCCGCAGTAATATTAGTAGTATAGTTGTAGCACGAATGGGTCGGCTCGGCCGGGAAAGGACCACGCTCTCACAGAATACCAATAATGCTGCTGTGTTTCGTATGGTGAGTGTAGAGAATCGGAGACCCTTTTTACTGCAAACGAAGCATTCCATCTTAGTCCTCACGGTTGACAACGTATCTGCGTTTTGATTCGTAAACAAGGATAGATGTAGATGTTTATGGGCCACAGCAACCACTTACCATCAGGTGGACTGTGTGCTCGTTTGTCACCCTATCCTATAATATAAAATTAAATGCGGTTCTTGCGAAGTTGGGCCAGCAATAAGTTTAGCAATGTTTTGCCAGTACTCTTTGTTGCATCTATTTCATGCGAAAGCAAACTCCCATTCCATTCACGTGGATTTCTTAATTATCGTTGCAGTTGAGCCCCCTTACAATATCTCTTGAAAATCTTTCCTTCGCTGCATAATGGCTAAACGGAAGTTTATTATACCATTATATCGTCAGTTAAATTCAACGCTTTATTACGGAGCTTAGTATTAGTTTTTTAGAATATTATCTAACATCCAAACACTTTATTTGATTTTATTTAGTCTAAACTTAAAACGCACACGAACTGTGAATTTTACCGGGATAAATAATATTTTATGTTATTTCAGGAACTAGGCCTATTTAATGTTTATATGTATGCTAAATTCCGTTCAATTCTTTTAGTTAGTTGAGTATATTGTAAAATTATATATAATGTTTAATAATAGTCCCCCAGGGCCTGTGTATTTATCCGAAATAAAACGTATCCCAAGAACTAATACATAATTTCATCAAAACCCGTCCAGCCATTGCATAAAAAAATTATATCACAGAATATATTGCTCTAAACATAATCTATAAGAATCGTGTATTTTTTTTTTCAGAAAGAGTAATTTACGTCTATAACCAGCCTGTAAATTTCCGATCCTGTTGGGAAATCATGTTGATCTGTTGCCTGGTTTCAGAGTGGAACAAGGACAAACCAGAACACGCTTTCGCATTTATAATACTAAGTAGAGATATCCTTACGATTTCCTCAGAATATTTTAGTTAGTAAAAGTTAACAGACCTACGAGTACGAAGATATGTGAATTCCATTTACATACACTTGCAGCTCGGCGGAGTATCTCCTTCAGAACCCTCTCAAAAATGAGAGATAGCCTACGTCCAGCTGTGAAATACAATAGGCGGTAACTTCAATATTTAACCGTGGGTAAGTAAGGTAGAATGAATTATTTACGCGTAATGCTTTTGGGAAAACATCAAAGAAAGGGTAGGGTCTAATAACAAAACGTCTCTGTTAACGATGACACGACGTGAAAGCAAGAAATAATATCAATTGTATGTATGTACCATAATACACATATAATGCACTTGGAACTATTTTGTTAGCAGATTGATAATATTGCTAGTGAGATGTGTGGGTAATCTTTTGCTAATATCTAAAATCTCCTAAAATCTAATTGATTTTTAACTAATTGTATTTTTATTGTGTAACTGTTAAAGTCCTCTACTGGAGATGGGCTTCTTCTGCTTTATGGAGAATTTGCCTTAGGGTCGTCTTGTATACAATGTGTAGGTATAAAAATATTACCTAACATCCTTCAATCGATAAGCACTAAAGCGAGAAGAATTCAAGAACAAATAACGTACGTCCAATCCTGAAGATTTATCTGCGAGCACTGCCCAGGATGGGCGGGAAAACATACATAACATAAACACTCACGCCTGTCACCCAGAGGGGTAGGCAGAAACTACAGACTTCCATTTGGCACGATCCTGACACACCTCTCTCGCCTCCTTCACATCCATACACCTACGCATACATGATCGTAGGTTAAGGGTACTCCTAATTTGGCCCGTTTTCAATAAATCGCCAATTTGGTCGATAAATTTTCGCCTACGACGTCCCTTTCCGACTCTTCCATTCACTTCTGCAACATATATTTGCTTTGTCAGTCTTTCCGCATTCATTCTTTCTACATGACCAAACCACCGAAGCATTCCTTTCTTAATCCTGGTCACAACATCATCTTGCAAACCACACTCTTCTCTTATTACATAACTTCTTACCCTGTCATTCAGATTCAGCCCTAAAATACTCCTTAACAACCGCATTTCTACTGCGTTCATTCTACTCTCGTGCTTCTACTGCCACACCCAACTTTCACTACTATACGTTAAAGTAGGGACCAACACAGCATTGTGAATTGCCATACGTGCATTTTTCGACACATTTTGACTCTTCACAATAGAGTGTAGGGCCCCATTTACTCTATTGCCTGCATTCACTCGTCGTTCTATATCATAAAAACATGGTTTCATTATGGAATATCTCGCCAGGTAGAAGAGGGCCATTAGAGCAATATGTGATTTAAAACCTAGAGAGATATTAACTCTGGCCTCTCAATACATTTATGAAAATGTAATGTACGTACACAAAGATATAAGTAGTTTTGCCAAAATGAGTGATATTCATTCTGTAAATACTAGGAACAGACACAAGCTAGTAGTACCAGTTACTCTACTCCACCGAGTCAGTAATTTTTATTCTTGGGGCGATGTATACGGTTTGACAACAAAATGCCATAAAATATACAAAACTTGACATACACAAAGTTCAAAAACTTTGTTAAACTAATTTTGTATAAAAAAGTGTTATTATAATACTAAGGAATTTATGGATGATAATAACCCTTAGGAAGGGTAATCGCTACCATGCTATTTCTAATTTGTTTTGTGTTGTTAATTTTAACATACATGAGTGTAAGCTCTTTTTAAAAAAAAATTGTCCCGCTGGGTTTCTTGCTGGTTCTTCCCAGGACAGATGTTTTTTTGCGAACCAGTGGTAATTAAAAAAGTGACTTTCAATAAGTATTATTTATAATCCATATTGAATAAAAAAGTTTCTGTTTCTGTTCTGTTTCTGGTACACGAATTGCAAACTATAATGACGTTTTGGTTTTATACGTGGCAGAGTCATGCTGCAGCTATATTATGGCTGTAGCTCGAATGGGTCGCTTCGACTGAGTTAGGCCTAAGCTCATACAGAATACCAGCGTGGAACAGCAGAATAAAGTTGCTGTGTTTAGCATAGTGAATATATAGAACCAGTGACTTTTTTACTAGAAACGAGACATTCTTTCTTGATCCTCAGTAGTGACAATGCTTCTGCGTTTTAATTGCTAACTAATTAATGATAGATGTCTACGAGCCGTAGCTTGCCTACTTACCATCAGGTGGAATGTGCGACCGTTTGTCTTATTGTATAAAAAAATGGAGCCAATTTTTACAATTCGCATCTTTGTTTTCACACAGCACTTGTCCGTGGGTAAAATTTTTTTAAATGATTTTTTGCCGAATAATTACATTTCATTAGATTTCAAAGGCTTACAAAAATTCAAATGTACTGCAACGTCATACTTGGCAAGTTAATTGAGGTTCCAGTACTAGACGCCTTGCACCTTCCACGCTATTTCCATCACTGATCTGATTATTTTACGTCTGGCGCAAACGGGATGGTTATACCGTCATCTGTCGTAAGCCATATCTTTCTGGCATTTTCTATAGTCACCTTTTACTATACCCAGGTGTTATAATATAGTAATGTTTTATTTTACACCGCTACCATACCGTTAGATCGTATATCGAATAGTCAATTAAAACAATGCTATAAACAGGTCAAAGGTTAAGTGCTCGCGGTAAAATGCGAGCAACCCAGGTTCAACTCCCGGCACCAATGAAATTGGATATTGCAATTTTAAGAGCTAATTTACCACATGCTCTGTAGTAAAGGAAAATATTTCAATAAAAAAAAGGAATTCAAAGACATGGGAACTGTGCAAACACACCTTAATCCCTCTTAGAAATGACCTGTGCTCAGCAGTGGGACGTATACAAGGCTGTAACTTTACTTTTACGCTATAAATACGATATATGCACAAAAATAGGCGTAAACTCTTTTTAATACGATTGAAAACAGAAAGCTACCTTTAATTTTCCACAACAATAACTGCGCTCAGTCAACGCAGTGATAGCATCAACGACTGCTATATTGAAAAAGTAATGAAAAACTCTCGACTGCGCTGCGCTCGAAACTGCGAGCGTTATTGAAAAACTATTTCGTTTGGCTCGAGTGAATTTTGCGGTGCTTACACCTAGGGCATTATGTGAAGAAACTTTCAAAATGCTCGTTATCGAACATGATTGCACTTTCCACCTAACTTCAAATTCAAAAATCGTTAGTAAAGTCTGTTACACTAATGGTAAAGGCATTAGAGAGTAAGTTTATTTATTCAGTTTTGTTTTTCACCAGTTTTATTTTTAAATAACTGACAGTTACTTGGCGCATTCACTTAGCATTAAGTAGCAGAGATGCGGGTTCGAATCTCGCAAGAAGCAAATATTTGTATGGCTTACAATTTAGATTTTTGTCCTTGTGCAATTTATTTATGGAAGTTGCCTCCACGATACAGAATAAAATCTTATTGAAACCTTTTATATGAAAAAGATCAATTTTTGCATGAACAAAAAACTATGCTATTTTGGTTCAATATAATAGTTCAAAAGTTCATGGCCCAAGTAGGGATTTGTGTACCTCTATATAAAAGCTTACATTGCACTAGAATATACAAAGTTTCTGTGTTTATGGACGATCTTGTTAGTTCAAAATGTACTAAGATTTGTTATTGAGGTAAAGACCCCCGAAATTGACAAATAATTTAAAGTAATCCCTACGGTCATTTAAAGCTGAACTTTATTTATTATAAGCCACACAGGCATGGTACTTTTTCAAAATATCCAAATTTTGCTATTAGCAGCACACGAGTGTGTTTGAATCCTACAGAAGCGTACAAATGTAACAAACTTAGTGAAAGTGCTCATACAGAACGCTTTAACACAGAGCATTGAATGGGCACTTACATGATGTCAAACGCGACCTGAAGACTGATTTCAATAGCAATGTTGTTCTGACAAACCTTTTTCCTTTATTAAATTTAAAATATGAAGATAGATAATATAAGCAACATATTTCAATGTATATATGGCAAATCTAGTAGGCTCATTATATAATTATGTAGTCTTGACTCTACTACTTTTGGTCGTAAAATTAATTAAAAAACCATTAACGTTCGAAATTTATAGGCCAATAGTTTTTTTTTTTTTTTTTTTTTTTTTTTTTTTTGATGGACAAGTATATAATTTGTCCGTAGTAATTTTTTTATATTTTTAAATAACAAAAGAGTTTTAATATATTTAACCCTCTTTTAAAAATCACCGCTTTGTTGATCGTGAGATCGAGTAGTCGTAGGCGTGTCTGCTGATCGTGAAGTTCTGAGATTGAATTCCAACTCAGGCCAAAATCAGTCATTAGGTTTGTCTGGCGAGAAAAAGTCTCAGTAGTAGCCTGGAATCAAGAAGTTGACAATATATCACCCCCATAGTTATCCGGTCGCTTTGGATTACCGTCTCACTGGACTATGAAAGTGAGGGTATAAAGGAAGTGCAAGTATGCTTGCGCAAACAACAACAAACAATTCTATGAATATATTTCTCTCTTTACACTAAAAGGATTGAAAGAATTTTAAAGATATTTCCTGGATCTTGACATGACATTAAAAAAAATTATATCCTGGATTGAATGTTTTAAATTTAGTGAAAAATAATACAAATTTGAATGGTAGAGTATTTAACACGTATATGTATCGGTAGGTATGTATAAAGCTCCATAATGGTTACTTTGCAGCTGTGGGATAAATACGCATTATCTGAAGATTCTGTACATAGGCAAGCACAATAAACATTAAACCGTTGTTGGCATGTGGTGAAAATATCTGTTTTCGGTCTGACGACCCTGCGGAGCGGAGAGATGTCACACTGTAGGAGAGTTGTGACGCGGAGCTCTTTTTCTTGACTTATTTGATACGATTACCTGTTGACATCCCTTTAGAATGATCACGAAACACCTCTCTCGCCTCACAATGCTGTTAATGTTGTCTTCTTATTGTACTATAGTAATGAAAGCTAACTGTGGAAGAACCATGGAAGTAACGGTAATGCAGTGTAAATGCCGTCTTTAAGAAATATATTAGGGGTGACTTTGAATGGTTTAGTGAGAAATTTTGTGATAAGAGAAATTCATGTTGTTTGACTGTAGTGAATATGTTCCGAACAAGATTAAGAAAGGAATGTTTTGGCAGTTCGGACACGTAGAAATAATGAATGACGGAAGTTTGTCGACACATTTAGATGGGTTAAATTAAGCGCACACTTAACCGACGAGCATATATGCGTATTCATGCATTATTATTTACTATGTCCAATAACAAGTGCTAAGGTCACACATTAAAAACGCCGGTATCCATTTGGGTACTCCGTACCTTTCACATATAAAAGCTTTACATTGTCAGTTCGAGAGTATCATGCACCCAAAAGTTGCACTTTTCAAAATGATGCCGTTTTCTGACATCCACACAGACGAAGCCATCAAAAAATCAAAAAGGGGCATCAAAAAGTATTAGATAGTTGCGTTTTATTTACTTATACACAGAAATTCTTATAAGGTGCTTATTTACTACTACAAAAAATATAAACAATGTTATGTTAATTTTGTTTTATTTTTACGATTAATATAGCAAATATGTGCTATTTTACTTATAAAGATCACTCATAGTTAGATATCTATTATAAATTAACGCACAACAATAAGAAAAAAAATTATATCATCGAAAATCCAACCGGAAATTTTGATAGAAAATTTTCCATAATATATATTACAATAAATCAACAATATTGCCTCTGTTTTTCTTTAATTTTTTTTTCGAGTTTCACATACAGACTAGTTTTTTTTTTCTTTGATTTTACTACAATATTATGTACTGTAACCGAAATGAGATGGCTCTTGTCAAGCTTTGTTATCGTACGCATGACACCATACATTTAGGTCAATTAACCTAGAAACCACCTGATCCTCTTAATTTAATATTACCAGCGGTCGCTTTATGACTGAGCAGGGATAAAGTTAACTCTAACTTAAGTAAATTAGATCGTTTGTTAGGTGGCACACAGTTACTAAAAAATTAAAAACAAAAAAAAATTAAAAAAGATATTTAATAAATTCACGTATCAAAGATAAAATTTAGTTTTATCAAAAAAGTATAGTTTATAATATTTTATAAGTTGATCTGGAATAAAATTTGAGCTGCTAAATGAAAAGAAAAATAAAAATTAGCTTCAAGCTTTACATTAGAAGCATCAGTACTTATATAAAGTACGTTTGGAAGAAGAAAAAATTAAATACAAAACTATATTATGTTTGGTTTAGATGAAATCGGAATGCGTGCCTGACACGATTCAATAGTTCCGTCGTTAAAATAACTGAGCGTGGTGCACTGTGCACTTAGGCTGAGTGCGACAACTTCACGAGAGTTTTATGAAATGTTGGTAGAGTTGTTTTTCCACTACGCTTTCGAGAATATTCTATTCAAAAGCACATCCTTAATACATAAATACTTGAAAACGTTAAAATAATTTAAAAATATTGGGTTTTATTTATTTTGGCCTTTTTGAACTGCAACGTTTCTCCGTAATATCATTTCAAAAATATCGCCGCTAATAAGTATTTTTTTTAATTTGTAATCGTGAATTATGAAATTTTATATAGTTTTTAATTACTTAATTTTCGTACATTTATATAAATTCAAATTCAAGGAACGGAGGAGGTAGTATGCAATGACTTTGAAGCGACAATACCTTGATGAGCGACTTTGACGACTTTGAAGCGACAATACCTCAAGCTTATGAGTTAGCATTCGCCCTTCGACTACTTTCGTGAATCTCTGCTAACATAAGCAGTTTGAGCTTACTTGGAGTGAATTTATAAGCATTTTCAAAAGAAATCCTCAAATCAACTTCATCTGTAAGCGATGCAAGTGCTAAATAACAAAGAAAGCTCAATCAATCAAATGATATCCAATCAATAGTCCATCCCAAGAGTTTGAGGCTAAATTAAATAGACTGATGAGCAGCAGAGCAGGGTGACACGAGCACACAGGCCACCTGATGGTAAATGGTTTATGTGACCAAAAGGCATTCACATCTATCCTCAGTTAAGATTCAAAATGCAGATGCGTTTTAACCTCTGAGGACTAAGATGGAATACCTCGTTTCCAGTTAAAACTTTTTTCTAGCTACATGACCGACCCATTGCCACTTTCATCGTCATTACAGCCCTTCACAAGTCCACTGCTGAACATAGGACTGTAAGCAGTTTGACTTCATTTGGAGTGATGTTATTAGCATTTTTTAAAGAAATCCTCAAGTCAAGAGAAAAAAGGTTCTCGAGTGGCAGCCTCGTACCGGTAGGCGAAGTGTAGGGCGAGCCCCACTAGATGGAGTGACGATCTGGTAATACATGCAGGAAATTGATGGATGCAGGTGGCTCAGGACCGTGCTTTGTGGCATAACTTAGGGGAGGCCGATTGCCACTTTAGCTAACTTTAAATCTAAACATCCGTATCCGTATTTAATTAATCATCTGTACTTCTAACTTCTAAACTTTATTTGTTCACAGGCCTGTTCGAAACAGAAGGTGTCCGAATTCCAGGCACGGAGTGCGACTACCAGTTCAGCCGTTCTGGCAACCGCCCAGCTCACGGTCGCCTTTACAGCCCGCGGTACCCATCCATCTATCCCAACAACGTGCGATGTTCTTATCATTTTCAAGGGAGGTCAGTGAATATAAAAAATAATTAAATTTTTATAAAAAATTCAAAATAATGTTATACAACATTTAAATTATTATTTCAAGATCAGTTCGTAATCTCACAATAATCGAATGAAATAGTTTTAAGTAAGGAATCTAGACAAACGTATTTATTTATTTTATGAAATACGAAATATAGCATACAACAGCAACATTTATTGTAAGAGAGCGTGGTCCTTCCCATGCCGACCCATTCGTGCTACAACCATAATATAGCTGCAGCGTGGCTTTACCACATATCATTACCTAGTGTAAGAATATTCACGACCCCATATTGTTCTACGGGTATTATGTAAAAGGCAACCAAGGGAAACCAACCAAGAGATTGGCAGTTACCAACCCGCGTGCCTATCGTGGAATCTATTGCCAACATCCCCCCGTATGAGGCATTCTATGGGGAGCCTTTTGGTCAGTTCAGAAACAGTGGGTTGCTGTTTTATTTGTAATAGTATTGTATTTCATTGTTATTTACAACTAGCGACGTATGTTCATGTGTTAATGTAATATTATTTAGATTTTTTTATAGTAATCAACAATTAACATTTATTTTACTTATAATATTTTCATGTCACAAAATAGAAATCTCCAAATTTTTCGGGTGAAAAGTTGAACCGCACCGCAGCACTAGAAACTAGAAAAGTCCTGTACGTATGAATGCCGTTGGACGTAAAAGGCTGTTACATTTTGCTTTATAATACAATTATTTCTTATATGTAGTTGTATTACGATCGCAGCAAGAATGTGTCGGCTTGACCGGGAACCCGCTCTCACAGAATACTAACGTAATAGCAATGCAACGCTCATGTACATCATGCAATAGAGAACCAGAGTTTCTATGGACTGTACATCTGTTTGTCAACCTTAATTTTTATAGAATAAGGGTGACAAGAGAGCAAACGTTCCACCTAATGGTATTTGGATGCTGTAGCCTATAAACATCCACATTTATCCCCGGTTAAGAATCAAAACGCAGATGCATCCACCCCTGAGGATGGAATGCCTCGTTTCCAGTAAAAAAGGGTCTCTGGATCTCTACACTCATCATACGAAAAACAGCAATATGGAGCTGATATTTTACGTCAGTATTCTGTGAGAGCGTGGTCCTTCCCCGGTCGAGCCGACCCATTCGTGCTACAACCATAAAATAGGTGCAGCGTAGCTCTACCACCTATACTGTATACTTGAATTAGAAACAACGATCGTAAGCATTATTGCGGTATATTTTGCCTATTTTTTTATATCTATTTGATCACTTTTCCCTTAATCACGGATTTCCTTTAATAATAGAGGTAACTCACAGAAATCTGAGAAATCCTGTGTCTCAGAAATAAGACATATATTATGCTCATAATGATATTACTTTTTCTTATTAAAATAAAAAGTGTTAGGTTGCTTAAACTTTTTATTTAGATAAACTGTTAGTTAATTTATTTAAACTGCAAATAAATTAAACTGTTACTTTATTTCAAATAAAGTAAATTAAATTAATGTTTAGGTTTTTTATTTATTAAAATTTCTTATTTTAAAGAGTATCTCTTGTGATTTCAAATGATTTCATTATTTTTTAAAAGTGTATTTTTTCCTTTCCAGACCAAAAGATCGTGTCAAAGTAGTTTTTGAAGAAGTGTCTCTTCAAAAAGGTGATATAAGGTGAGTTTGAAATAGAAAATGTGTGCTCGTGAGAATTTGTGTGTTTAAATGTTCTTTAAGACACCTGTTTTTAATAACATAATATTTGAAACTTTATAAATAACGTTTCGTATGCAGCGAGTATTAACATAGACGGTGTGAGATCCTCTGTACAGTTTCATATATTACAAATACTGTCGCAAAGTACGCATTCTACGTATATTACGGGATGTTATCACGAGTATAACTTTCATAATTAAAATTAAAACAATTTATTATCCAATATATATGTTAGTAAAAAGACACACACATAGTGAAAAATGTTATTAATAATTTATGAGTAGTATGCCTTTAATCGACTTGTCTTTTCATACGTCTTATTTTTTCATAGGTTAAGGGTAACCAACGTGCAGACAGTTCATCTGATGGTAAACGGATTCTGGAGTCCATAGACATCTACATCTATGGTCAATTAAAAATTAAAATTCAAATGCGTTGTTACCCCTTGAGGATTAAAATGGGGTGCCTCATTTTTAGTGATGAGGATATTCGGTTCTCTTCACTCACCGTACGAAATACGACAGCTTTAAGCTACTATTTTCAGTTGTCGCATGTTCTACGATGTATAAGATATATTATATATTTGTACGGTTAAATCGACGATCTAACAAAGACGGTAGAGAAACTCTCTTTTTTCTACCATCCTTGAGAGTCTTACCCTGCAGTCGCTGCATCACCAAAGCAGACATTAATCGCAAGATTACGTAAAAGACATTTATGATATTACAATAAAGATATTAATAATTAATTCGCAACCATCCGCTTAATTAAATACAATGATGTGTCTTACCTGGATTAAGGTAACCTCCCGCCCTCCATCAATTGCGTGCACTAATCCCGTCACCACTAATCCCAGCACCACTACTCCCAATACCACTACTCCCGGTACCACTACTCCCAACACCACTACTCCAGGAAAGACACACCATCGACGACAATACGACACGTGTCTACATCACCTGAAGATGCCTCGTGTAGAGGCGAAACACGTGTCGTATTGTCGTCGATTTAATATCTTTATTATAATGGATTTCCGCAAAGTAACGCCTGATTCTATCAATTATTTATGATTACAGCCGCATACATACCTAATGCGCTGCTAAAACGTGGAAGCCCCAATAAAGCCCTGAAGATGTTATTATGATGAACTCGGGATAATGAACGATTTTTTTGGTGAAACTGGTTCATAAACTACTTACTTATGTAAAATTTTGGCAATACCCTCTAAATTGTACTTATTTCACGCTATCTCTACATCGAACATATCTGTGTAAAAGTATGCACCCTTTCATCAGTATATGTATATATATATATATATATATAGTATATAATCTGATCAGTCAATATTGTTGATTGCGTGTGGGCTGCGGGTTCGATTCCGAATTGAACAAGTCTGCAATTTATGGGATATATTCCTGTGTGTGTGAAGGTAATATTTGGTTGTAAAAAATTTGAAATAATAACATGTCAAAAATATAAATTTTAAACTGAACTACTATGCTGCTAACAAATTTACCAGAATATTCGAATTGGTACTTTTACTCGCTTTTCGGGCTTCAAATGTAAGAAAATTTCCTCAAAGTATGCGACGGCGGATGTTCTCTAAAAATATGGCGTAAAATCGCGTCCGGTTGAAAAATATTATCGTGAGAGTTTTGAAGTGATATTCATTTAAAAATAGCGTATCTTACTAAATAAACATTCAATTGCCATCCATTTAAATTGAACTCTCGAAGAAAACGTTTACTTTTGAAATACTGTAGTTTTTACACTCCACACGGAACTTAAAAAATAAACCGTTGATTTAATATCAGAATGATAATAATAATTCATAATAACAACGTTGATCATGATCCTTGTTAATTATCAAATCAATGATAATGGACTAAAATCAAGGGTACAAACGGTTATCTAATTTAAACAGGAAATATCATAAAAGTTAAATATGCAGTAACAATAACATACTTTTATGATTATTTTAACATCGTTATTATTTTGGTAAAGAATTTTATAAAACATTTTCTCAGCAATATTTCATATTTATAGTCTAATAACCATGATTTCCTTCTCATTAGTCATTTTGGTGTTTTTGGTGTCATTACCGCCGCTCACGAACAATTGCATCACCAGGGCAACAGGTGCGTTGCCAGCCTCTTAAAAAAGGGTCGGCTCTTTTCTTGAAGGTCCCTAAGTCGCAACGGTCCGCAAAAATTGCTGGTGGTAACCGGCGTTGTTTGAAAATTTAGAAGTTATGAAAAGATATTAAATACATAAAATAATACCTTTACGCTATAATTTAGAAGGCTTTGCTCTAATAAAAAAATATTACCAAATCTCATTACTGACCAAACCAATTTCGCATTTTATTTTAATTAAATTATAGTTTCAATTTCTGCAATACTATAGGCGCAAAGTGAATTATAAACGTAACAAGCACTGGACCGCTTCTGTTAATGAGGCCAGGCTATAAACCATATCTACTTGTTTAATTAACCGAATAATGCATGGGCATGCCGTTTCGGGGCCGAATTTACATTCTAGCTAGTTGGTGTTAACGCATTTGTGGGATTCAATTGCAACTTAAAATATTTGGTTGGAAATTGTTTTAGTAACAATTATTTACACATTTAATATTGTCGAGATATTTAAGATTATATAGAAGAAAGTTATATGGTGGTGGCGTGGGAGAATATATAACCCCTTTCCTCGGGAGGGATGTCGTATGAAGCGATTATGGGAATTACCAGAATTATACGAGGTGGTTATATCGCCGGTATAATCAGTAGACGGGCTGCAGCGTCAAAAGTCCGAAACGTCTGACGTGCTAAGCAAATTTTCCCTGTAACCACAAAGAAAAATAAGTATAGGTAAAGATCACAAAAATACAAAGTCCACCTAATGGTTAGTAGATGGTGTGGCCGTTTTATTAATATGGGGAAATGCCTACGCATGCCCGCCCTAGGGCGGCAAGGGCGGGTTATGTCGGACTCGCACCTAGCGCTATCGGTGTATCAACGCGATCGCGCGGCGTCGGTTAGAAAAAGTGATACGTCCTATCGTTGGGAAGACCCGAACCGACTGAATAGTTACTGTATATATAAAGTAATCTATGGCGTACTGAATTGGACGGCGTCTGCGCGTGATGATTTATTGTATTTTAAAAATAATCGTATAAAATAATTGACAGATAAAACTAGCTATTTTTTTTTTTGGATATTTAGCATTACTTGTATTTTGATAAAGTAATTAAAATAAATAAGTTTATATCCAAATACACGGAAATAATGATATGGAAGTGAGCAGTTTTGGTGATGTTATAGTATTGTTTTTAATATTAAATTGAAATATTTTCGTAATTTATTATTTATGTTGCACTAAAAGACTACCAATATATTCCATTATAATAACGCTTAAAATAAAGTATTTTAGCTTATAATAATAGTTGTATTCAACCTGAAATATAACTCTGACGCATATTTTCGTAAAACGCTATGAAGGGATTGTTTTCGCTCTAAAACCCGTCATTAAAAACTATGATTTTGCGTTGTGGTGCACTAAATAAAGATGTCATGTTTCTAAAACCGTAATTTTCTACAAATAATTTGCTCACATCGTTACGATATCGCCCTTGAAAGAACCCTAAAACACGAAGTTTACGATACGAATCGCTTATATCCTCTAAATGTCATTTTTTTGACAATTTACCGGAAAAGCCTGAAATTGTTTACTTCTACTTCGTTAAATTTAGTTTTACAACCAAATTCCATTCCAAACCTCATTATTTTATTACAGTCCAGTGCGTGTGAACAGGCAGTGACAAGTTATAAGCGTGAATAAAAGGCGCACTAAGCACTTGTCATTTGTCAGTTACACTTGTCACTCGCACTTGTGACTTCTCAAAATGTAAACCGGGTCTAAGTCTCCTTTATAGATTGTCTGGTAAGGTAAGGTAAGGTAAGGGGGGTATTTTCTACAGTTGCCAAACTTGGCGAGAGGATTAGCAACCTCAGTTTTTTTTGATAATTTGAGCTTTCATCTAGATAATCCTGCTGCCCATCTCCTGTTTAAATTTCGCTCTGATGCCTCTTACAACGCAACACCCAAGGGATGATATAAGGTTTATGGATATTCTTACACCGCCACTACGTATCCTGCAAAAAATAAATAACAGATTTAACAACTGCAAGCAATTATCTTTGGCATAACTTGAGCATAATTTGAAACAACGTTAAAACGCCTTCCCTTGAGTTTGATTACTTTATGAAATGAAAGCATAACAAAGTCCTGGTAAAGTTTTACACCAAGCCAATCTAAATATGACAATTAATTAATTTACTTAATTCAACAAATACAGTGTTTTGTGATACAAAATATTGTTTATTGCTAACTTTCTTTTTTGCTTCTTAATTATTACTTAAACAATATTATACTTGACGTGGGTGATGTTAGAGGAGAGAGAGGGAAACAAAGTGCAAGACAGGCAGCAGCGACTTCCTAATTACAACAAAACCGCCTGGTAAGTGTCAGGGTTTTTATATCAAAAGTCCACTGGTTAATAACACCAGTGGACTTTTGATAGCTGTAAGGATAACGGTAGTATACAAAAATATTGTATACATAGTATATATTTGTACAGTATATATTTGTATCAGTAAAAGTTAAATCTTTATATATATAATTGTTCTGTGTATGTGTATGTTCCTGAGATCCTCCTAGACGGCTGAACCGATATTAATAAAATTTTGTGCCAATGATTAAGTCGATTTGAAAATGGTTTCGTATCACAATTGGACCCAGTAAATGGCGCTTTTGTCGAAATCCAGAAATCACCCGTGCAAAACCGATGCGGATCGCTATACTCAACCAAATCTAAGAAATACATTTTGACAGCTGTCAGACTTATTGCACCAAGTATGCCCACCAAAAATGCAGTCAAAATTAATGTGTCTTTCAAAGTCATC